GAACGCAATATCAGGACGAGAGTTTTGAAGGTGTAGAAGCTTCCCAACGGCTATTCTATAGTAGGTCGCATCAACGAGAGGAGCTCCCATATCAGAGGATAATTTAGTTCCTGGATCAAGAGCAACAGATGTGTCATTACAATCTACGAGGACAAATTTTAAAAGACACTTGCAAATGTAACGTTCATGGGAGAGATAAATCCCGTGGGCGGTGTACAAAAAATGTATGTCAAGATATAAAGCTAGTCGCCCAAGTACAATCATGTCGAAGCTGCGACACGACTCGGTGGTGAGGCATTGGATTTTTGCGGTATGATTTCCGGTAAGCATAACATCATCGACGTAGATGACTAGGAGTAAAACAAGATCACCTTCACGAGGTAGGTGAGGTAGGCTTGGATTGACTACTAAAAGAGTAAAGCCTACCTCACGTAGGTAATTGTCGATACGCTTGTTTCACGCTCGGAGAGATTGGCGGAGACCTTACAGACTACGGTGAAGCTTGCTGACGTGAGATTCAAGACCTGGTTTAACAAAGCCTAGAGGCTAAGTCAAGTATAACTTTTCAGTAAGCTTGCCGTTGAGTAAAGCGCTTTTAACATCCATGTGAAGAATCGACCAATTATCCTGGGCTGCCGTGAAAACCAGAATTTGAACAGTGATCCATCAAACTACAGGCGCGAAGGTGTCAAGGTAGTCCAAGCCTGTGATTTGTTTGTACCCCGTGTGACAAAGAGCGCCTTGTGTGTCACTACACCATCAGCACCGATATTTAGTTTGTAAAGCCATTTTGCGTGAATGGGACAAAAATGAGCTAGAAGAGGTACAAGAGACTAGGTTTGATTACGGTGAATTGAGTACATCTCGGACTTTATGGCACGGACCCAAAGAGTATCAGCTACAACTTGACGATAGTGTAAGTGTTTGCTAGAGGATTGAATTACGGCTGCAATGTCGTCAACTGTAAAAACGGTGGAGACATAGTCACGAAGCCAAGTAGACGGCGCTCGATCTCGAACATATCAGCGAAGAGAAGCTAGAGATTCGAGAGCCGCGGAGTCATGAGCTTCAACGGAGTGGGGATTAGAAGGTGTTGTTGTGACATCAAGAGACTTGGAACGCCGAGTGTAGACATAGATCAATGAAGTCACGTCCGGCAAGGAAACGTTGGAACCGTGGGATCTTGGCGAAGGTGGATGTTGCATTGTCGGATCCAACGGGATCGTGACTGTTTGAGGAACAGATCTGGAAGCATAAGTTGGATCAACAACCTCAATGACAACACTTTCGTCGTTGAGAGCTTCAACAAAGACATTACTTATATGCATCAGAAGACCAGAATCAGTTTTCATCAAACTTCACATCGCCACTAATAAGAATCTTGCGTGTGACAGGATTGTAACATCAATAACCCTTGTTTTCGTCCAAATAACCAACAAAGATGCATGTAACTTATCTATCTTCAAGCTTTATACGGCGCTCTTTAGGGACTTGTACATATGCCAGGAAACCAAAGATACGGAGATGAGACAAATCTGGTACCTGACCAAAGAGTTGCAGATAAAGAGAGCTCCCTCCATTTGCCCTAGTAGATGAACGATTGGTCAAAAAATTGGCAGTGTCGACTGCCTCGGCCCACAGGAAACGAGGAGTGCGGGCATCCGTGATCATGACACGAGCTTTCTCAAGGAAAGTTCAATTCTTCCTTTCTAAGCCTTCGTTTTGATGAAGTGTGTATGCTTGAGTTCCCGACTTATCCCTTTGTTGTCACAAACATTGATAAAGTCATGACTCAAGAATTCTTCACCACGGTCATTGCGAAGACAAAGGAGGTGATAGCCAAGAAGTTTCTCAACTTTGACCTTGAGCTTCTTGAAAACCGAAAAAGCTTCAGATTTCAAACGCAAAAAATATATCCATGTGAAGCGCAAGAAATTGTCAGTGAAAGTAATAAAATACAAGGATCCTCTGATAGACCATGGACAAATCATATCACGCAAATATGTGTGAATGAGACCAAGAGGTTTGGAGTAACGTCGATTGCTTGTCTTTCCGACTCTCTCGTGATACTGCTTTCCGATGATGCAACTATCGCATGTGCTAGTTGATGTGGTCATAAGTGGAAATTCTATGGCCCAACGATGTTGTCCAATGACACGGACGCTGTGTTGGTTCAGATGTCCAAGACGTTTGTGCTAGAGCTGAGGGACTACTAGTGACGGAATAGCACAAATCGGAAACTCCGGTTTGTCAATTATGTAAAGATAGAGTCTTGTATCAGCTTCATGAAGTCCTCTTGCTACTACATTCGGCCCATCATAAACAAGGCATTTGTGATTGTCGAATACAAGAATGTAACATTCATCTGCAATCTTTCCAACTGAAAGTAGATTCTTGGAGAGCCTTGAACATACTAAACATCACAAATATTAATTTCTCCATTCGGGCCAAGATTTACATTGCTAGACTCCTGAACGGATATGCGTTATTTGAACACTTGCGCCAACATCTAAGTTGGAGAAAACATTGATGTCATCAGTGACGTGCTTGGATGCTTTAGAGTCAACCAACCAAACGTCTTTGCCAATTTCCATACTGCTCAAAGCTATATTGAATGCGTCTATCTCCCTTTCAGGACTCTGATGTCCTAATTCTTCTATCATCACGTTTGTCTGATGAGGTTGACGCATTCTAGAAGACGAGTGTTGTCGCTCGCGGATTCTCTTGGTAACTTCATTGGTAAGCTCACGACAATTGCGCATGAGATGGTTCATTTTTCCACACTAGTTGCAAGGGTCAACCTCGACATCACGTGAATCATTGTAACCGGTACGAAATCCACCTGGTTCAATAATGTCATTTCGAAACTTACAGGTTTGGTGAGAAGTGTTGCGCAGGCGAAAGTTAGAATTGGAGTGGTCACCTTTGCACGCATGTTGTTACAACTCTAGTCTTGCAAGAGTCTAGCTGCAACTTGATAGAATGTGGGGAAGTCTTCCCTGTTGCAAAATCTTTGATAGATGTCATCAAAACTAGATGGTAGAGATTCAGCATACGCTAGACGATTTCTTCTTTAGACGATATGCGACCAATGGTGGCTAACTTCACACGTAGTTCCTGAATTTGATGTAGGTACATTGAAACTGAAGCACCTCCTATGAGACGTATGGAATTTAAATTGTCCTTCAACATGAGTCTAGATGCATTGTATTCACTTTGAAAGTAGTTTTGCAATCTAACCCATGCATTTCTAGGATCTGTACAGTCGGCAATAATTAGAAAAAATCTCCTCTCTAAGAGACAGTCCTATCGTAGCAAGAGGTTTGATTCTTCCTTGTGAGATATCATCTCCCTCATCGGATCTTATCTCATCGTCCATCTTAGGATCAGTGAATCGCCATGAATTCTCTCTCATCAATATCATTCTCATCTTGAATTTCTAGGTTTGGTAGTTGACGTTTGCTCCCAACTTATTCAACTCATGAACAATATTGAAGCTAGACATGATTACTATGATTGTAGAAAAACTGAATTGAATAGGAGAAGTCCTTCACTACAATATAAGCGCGTAAGTATAAAGGAAAGAGGTAGCAGTGCTCACCTAGTGAATAAACGTAAGTACTGAAAAACAAAACATATAGGAGCAGTATTCACTACGACACTTTGATAACATTAGACTTACGCTCTGATACCATGAAGGAATGAGGTAATCCATCAAATATGTGTCTTTTTTTATTGAAAAACATTTGCTTAAGTACATGCACACACACATGACGCCAAGAGGCGGCGTGCGTACTGTAGGTTTATCCATGTCATGATTTAAATTTAAAGACAAACTTAGAAAATGTTTTCAATTCATCACACTTGTGTCAAAAAAGTAAGGTATGCTAGTGAAGTATTACTCTCCCCATGAATCATGCCTTCGATAGTATTCTTAACGAAACTTAACCAACATTCACAATGTGCATTGAGCAAAGCTGTGAACTGACAGCAATTGATTTCTTAGGATTCTTATGTTTTCATCCAAGTACTTAACCGCTGTTGACAATCTTGGCTTGCAAAAGGTACTATTTTTCCTGATTGCGGTACAAGAAGATATGCCGAAGAAAGGAACGAAGGACCTAACAGAGGAAGATTCGTAAAGTGCATCGAAGCAGCAAAGCATGAAGAGTATGATACAGATTAAGAATCGATGTCTGCAAAGTTTTGTTTGATTAATGCCGAATTTCCCGAGCTTTACTACCACCCCTATGAAACATTGCCACCTTATTCTCCATGCCTCATATGCTTAATTAGTGTAAGATGTTGCATTAGCAAATAGAGAGTGTAATCCAACCGGAGACTTTGACAATGTCCAGTTCTATCAAGTTGAAACGACCTGGGTTCTTGGTTTTCTTCTTCTGTTTAGGATGATGAATGGCCACTGAAGACAGGAGGAGATTTGTGTTGGTACTTGAACGTCTGGTAAGAAGCACTCGATTGGTTTGGTATTGCTCTTGAAGTTAATCTCAAGGCAGTAGAGGTAGAATCATATCTTACGGTGGAATGCAGATCATCACTCCTTTTTTATGCATCTTTTCGGATAGCGAACTTTATTAGTTACATAGGTACATTTGATGAGTTTAGGCCGAGATCTAAAGCGCTGAAACTCACATTTAATATATAAACAGCATTCTGGCAGGATATTTTGGAGAGAATAATATTACGCTGAGATTTTGCATCCCAACAAAATTCTCGACTCTGATGAAGACTCGATGACGGGGAGAAATTCACAAAAAGACAAGGAAAAAACAGGGGAGAATGTGAGTGATGGGAACCTAGATGAGAAGAATCGAGGCAGGAAAAACATCTATGTGCGTGGCTTCAACTATGTCGAAGAAGTTGGCCGACTCTTTCCTCTAGGACATTTCAGAACTAACGCTGCATTTGGAGAAATCCAGTTCATTTCATGGCATCTGTGCATCCATTTGGACTTTAAAAAAAAAAAAAAAAAACCACCAATCTGCTCATGGATACGACGAGTAAATGGAATTTATAACATAACAAGCAACTACATGCTGTACCTACATGTATAGGCTAGTAAGCCTGTAGTTATGTTTATACTAAAGAAAAGCAAAGGAAGAATGATTCAGAAAATGAAATTTACTTCTATGAAGAGGTCCACTTTCCCAACCTCAATCCGGAATTCCTAATCAATAATAAGTTGAAGCGACATCCTTGCATGCGTTGGGTCCCTCCGAACACCAACATATGCAGCTGCTGACTTCAACATAATTGATGCACTTTGAAGGATTAAATGCAACGGCCACTGAAGCCAGTTCGTGGACTGATATGGTTGCCGTGAAGCAATCCATCGAACAATCGCACCTTCGTCCGAGGGACCTTCGATGGTCCCTTGGGCTCGCCACTCACTTCCGTCCGGAACCCGACTTAGTGAATCGGTTCCGGAGACTTCTCTGCTTTTTGATCGATGGCGGTGCCGGGGGAGGAACACAGGGAGGCAGCTTTAAGAACGAAGAATGGGGGTGCCTGCAGTGAAATCCAGCAGCGAGAATTCTGTCACTGGACAAATTTATACAAGTGCAGAAGAAGTGAATTTATTCAGAGAAGATGCAAACCATTCATAGACAAGACTTCGTCCAACGCCAGGCTACCAAGAGCGGGTAAGGGGGTAACTCACTCCATTCGAAGGCAGTAGAAGACCTTTCTTCCTTCGATCCTATTTACAGAGTCAACAAATTTCTCAATCTCTTGGATCGATCCGGTACGGAGATCAGGCCAGGGAAGGGACACGTCCACTCCAGTGCTATGCTTGTACCTGAGGCTACTGGTACTGGGAACTTGCATACTCCATCTCTTGAGCTCGTCCATGAAGGGTCGTAACTGATAGTGATTCAAGATGCGTTGATTTGTTCGGCTCACGTGAATATAACATCCGACTGTTTCAGAGTCTTCCGTGAATTGCAGATTCATAACCTTCTTTTGATCTCCAGAGATACTTGTCTGCTTGGAGAGGGAACTGGTTGAGCTCGCAGATTTCTGCATGGAACTGCTCCTTGTGCTAAATTCGGGAGTTCTGTCCACTCGGTAAGGCTCCTCGTAGTCCCATCGAAAACTTGGGCTGGGACTGTAAAGACTTCTGTGTTCCTCGGCTGTCGGCATGGCACTCCTGGTGGAAGTTTTGTCATCTTGCTTCCCATTTGCAGTACTCACGAAGCCTCCGGATTGATTCGAGCTAAGACTGGGGCATCTTGAAAATTGAGAAACCTTCTCAAAGATTATGTGTCCACCGGCCTTCGATCCTAATTCCTTTGCTGCTAAAGAATTGCTCCTCGCCATTGAAGCTGCAGTTTTTATTCTGTACTCGTCTCGCTCTGTGCATCCACTGTGTTCCTTCTCTCCCATCTGGCTCAAAATTATGCTTTCCACATTCGCCAAATTCTGGAGAAAGTCCACATTCTGGGGACTGTATGGCTCCGAGTCCACACTTCCTTCGTCTTCATCATCGGGAATGATCTTCGGTCGACTGACACACGGAGAGAAGAAGCAGCCGGTACGCATTTTCCAAAGACTGGAGTTTCAGTGATACTCAGCACTTGCAGCACTTGCAGGATCTTGCACTCTTGACTGATCGCTGTCAGGAATTCCTGACGTACCTTCCAAGCGCAAAGATCTACACCTGTTTCCAAGTGGACGAAGGATAAATACTGAGAGCACAAAGTGGGTTGCTTCGAGTCCGATCCAACAGATTCATAGAATCTCGCAACGATGTGCTCGTTGAACAGGCGATTGATTGCAAACGGTAGCCTCTTTGATTCTACCGCTGATTTCCAAACTTTTGAATCTCCAACGACCGTTTTTCTCATCAGGAATTTCAAGCTTGTTGATGAATAGCAATGAATCAGATGTCTTTCAACTTGGAGATGAACTACTCATTGCAGCCAAGTAAGCTGACGGTTCGGATTGACGGGCTATTTCAGAAGATATTATGCAGAACATGTTTTTGACAAGAAGTAAAGCGGACTCACAGCAATTGCTACAATCCTCAATCCTCAGCCGTTTCACCTCAAGTCCAATCATAAAAACGGTTGAGATTAAACAATGGAATAGCCTTCGAAAGATTGAAAGTATACAAGGATTTTGACGCCTCGAGGTATACGTATGCGTGGCCAAACATTAGTTGATCGGATCTCTCATCCGTTGCGGTATATCTTTTCGGGCATTTCAAGTGCCATGGAAGACTTCAAGCTGATACCTGTCAGTATGTCAAAATGACACAACTCCAAGACCTGGAGACAGTCTAAGATCGATGATTCAAATTTGAACACTAGCGCTGATATATACTGTCAGATATAGTATGATATACTGGCATGTGAGAGCTTCCACTGCAAGACACTGGTCCTTTACGATCAAGGTTCGCTGCTGAGTACCCAGTACTACTTGTATATGGCCTCGCTGTGCAGATCTTCAAGCTACATCTGCTGGAAGGTGAGAACTTCAAGGTTCTCTGGTGGCGGAGGCTTCACATGCACAAATCAGCTGATCAGACCACATGGCTATACTCCCTCTACTCTAAAGCTGATCTCGATCACCGAGTTTTGTGTAGGTCTGAGATTTAGGCTTGTGATATCAAGCTACAATCTGTAGTTGACCATTACGATCGCTTATCAAGCAGACACCTATAGACTATGTACACAAACACAACCTTCACAACTTATAATTACTGGTTTCTATGTACTACCTTTGAGATATCATCTGGAGATGTCAAGGGGTTTAGGTGTCTGCTTGATACAATTGGAAACATAAACTTGCGTTCAACGTAAGCATGAAGATGTTGTGGTCTCCCCATCTGGAATGTTGACTTCAGACTTCTGCATCCTACAAGCTGTCAGATATTAAGTTGCTGACTCACATGTAGTGGGAGTCCCAAGTCACGGATGGATTAAGTGACGTCACCCTTGGAAAATAGTTCAAAAAATCAAATGAGTACTGCTCTGTCCTACAATGAAGAAGGAGACTGGTCGGGGATACTTTGTACATGGTTTGGATCATAATGAACATATAAGTCATCATGATTTTGGCTTCGTAGAGAATACTGAAGAGGTTTTCGGCTTCAGTTCTTTGAAAATCGAAAGCAAGTTCAAGAATCGAAAGTAGAGCATAAATCTAGAGAAAGATATCTTAGTGGTGTGAATTTACTCCAATTGCCTTAGCGTTTCAACGACCTTACAGAGCAAATCAGTGACTGAGATAGCTGAAGAAGAACAAGACGTGGAGGCACTGAAATTAAGTTCTGAATGACAGAAAGGAAACGAGGTGAATGTTTACCATGCATGACGTATGTAAAGATGTTATGATTATGCTCCAAGCAATGTTAAGCAAGCTCCACAAATGACATCGACCTGGACTGACAATGACCTCCACACATGGCTTCCATCAGTGCAACTTTTGCCTCTTCGAATATAGGCTACACAACTGGAAGAACACCACCATAGCCATCGAACTGTAAAAGGTATGACTTCTTTATGTGCAAATTCTTCACGTGATGGCGTGGAAGGGGCAGGCGTACGCAAGAAGAGCAGGTAACAGAACTGCGAACGTGTTTGGCTGAATTTGCGAATGAAGTGGGAACAGAAGCATAAAAAAGTGAGATACTGTGGCGGTACTTGAGAGTTGGAAGATTCTGCTATACAATGGGAGTGTTATTTATGCTCAAATCGAACGTTCGGACCTTCCAGTCAGTTAAATTATTCAAATTTATTCACGTCCACTTCAAGTCAGGAGCTCTGCCTATTAAATTCATGGAGTTCAGAGACTCAAAGTGTTTTGCTTCGGTTTTCGATTACCTATTTTCTAATATATCGCCCTACATCAAATTCCCATGTTAAAGCCGGAACGCAATTTCTCGCTCCAGATCTGTGTCTCCAGTTTATCAGTGACAGTTTGAGTGTTTGCACCTACAGAATGTCTAACCAAAAGCCTGGTAAGTCATCCTCCATCCTAGAGGTGTACTTGCATCCTGCTCATGCTGCTCGGTTCTGATTACAACCAAAACCGTGTAATGATATCTTTTACTCCATAAAATGTATGCGATTGTCGATCGTGAAGAGTGGATAGTTGGGAGTTAATACATCACTCTCAACTGCCAGCAAACATGGGGCGGTTGAAAAGTTACCACCCAACCTGCAAAGCACCCGTGCACCACTTCTCCATCTTCACACGGAAAATATATCACACACTATTCAGAGTATTTGTAAGTAGAGTGACACGAGATGCACTTCAGACAGTCAAAGCCTTGGACGTGAAGCTCCAAAATGTGAGCAACCCGGTGCGGAATATTGTACAACCCTGTAAACCTGTACATTGAGCACCAGGTAAGTGCTTCACACTGGTGCATTTGAATCAGATGATGACAACGGTGACCCATTTGGAGTGATGAGTGGTTGCTGTAGCAACATCAAAGAAACATACTCAAAGAATCTATTTATCTAGACATTCCATAGATTCATTTCTCATAGACGTCCGCTGAATTACACAGAGAGATACTGTTCTAGTAGTCGCTTGGTAGGTTACAAAACAATGCCTACTTTGTGTCGACCATTTGTGATATCTCTTAACCAAGCGATTCTAAGCCTTATCTGCTAAAGCTTTAAGGTATACCATCACGTCCACCGACCTGATAAACCATGGAAATCATATTGCTCTAGAGACCAAAGCTCTTGGCACCACCCGGCTTACCTCAACTATCCTCTCTCTAACAGGGGAGCAGAGAATGAAACCTGTCATTAAAACGGTTGCGGAGATATTATACTCACCCGGAGTATAGAAGGAAAATAGCTTTACGTACACAACCTCTAGTCATGGCATTCCATGAACTGGAGTTACATCCGAGAGGGTGCTTTAAAACCGTGTATTGAATCAGTTGCGGAAACACTTCAGGTTTCTTAAGTGTTGAGGTATCTAAGATTGCTCTAAGAATTTGGTTTAAAGGGCAAGAAAGGCCAAGGGATTTTACTGCGACTTTGGTGTTTTGGCTGCAAAGCTAGTGACGGGTGTTATGTTCAGTGGGGAATTTACTTTTCGGGCTGCCCGATTCCATTTCGTTACACTCACAATTCCATCACCAATGACTCCAAGACCCCTTCTCCCCACTAGCTTGACACCAAGTTTGTCGGAAAGATAAATAAGACGTAATTTATCGCCTCCTCTCAATTCCAACAACTCGAACGCCTGTCTTCGAGATATTATAGTATAAAGGTGAACTGATTGCTGATCAGTTGGTGAGCTCTCAGGTTCCTCCTTCCTCTCCCCTTTTCCAATTGTCAATCTTACGATAACATAAGACTTGAGGTCGTTTGTCTGCGGATCGAAAACGACAGAAAAGCAGCCAAATTGCAAATCTGGTTCTTTAAATATATCCACCAAAATCGTGGCAAACGATTGAATATCTTTCTGAATACCTCGCTCTCCCTTAGACGAAACTATACGGGACCCTGCAAAAGTGGTAATGTTACCGGCCTCTCTCAGACCACTCAGAAATGCTCCATGCATCGTGGCTGGATAACGACGATTGGTGGCTTCTCCAGCGAAGAACAGGCGTCCGTCGCCAACACATTCAGCTAATATGTCGTAGTCATCTCCTGACGCACCGACTGCAACATTTGAATACGAACCATAACAGAGCGAATCTCCACCCCACCGAGTGCACACGGTTTGGATGGGATCTGGAACTTTTACGCCCCGTGGTTCATATATTCCTGAAAAATATTCGCCATCAATGGTCGCATTAGATTAAAAGAGACGAAGATCTTCAGGGTTAAGACTTTGAGCAGAGTTTGAGTAATGAGAAAACCGCAATAACGAAATGTCACATGCCGCTACTGTAAACAGCATCTTGATTCCCACATATTCGATACCAAGACCGGGAAGAGGATTCAGACAAGTGCGAACCTCTCAGAACACTAAGCACCCTCGTTACTGCTTCGATTGGCGGCATGCACTCGAAGTTAATAGCAGCTTCTCCAGCCACTAAGGCCAGCAGAAGAGGACCACCAGACACAGCGGCATAGCTGTAAAACAGAAAGAATTCCCCACGTCGATTTGTGCTTTCAGCAAGATGCCCAAAAGTGTCTAGCTCAGCACCCCAAAATGGATGGCTGAAGAGCATTACGACCTTATTGAGCAAACCAAATCCTAGGCGTTTGATTGCGTCTATCTTCCGCACTGGCAACTCTGGCTCGAACTTTATGGCTTCTCGCTTTAAGACACCCAGTGGAGCGGTACACAAGGCCATGTCACCTTCAAAAATCTGTTCCCCAGCTATAACTTGCACTCCTTCACTGCTATATCGGATGGTATGAATAGTTTTCCCGTAGAATATGGGGACTCCCTCAGCGAGTGCAGCCACCAATCGCACATTACCGCCTGGCAAAAAGCAGTGGTCCCCACCCATTTCATATGGATCATCTTGATCCCAAAAAGCGAGAGAAAGATTGGATAGCAGGCCAGCATTTGCATACTCCAGGTTGGCAAGATGCCAATCAAACAACTGCCGCTCTTCTGCATTCACTGCAACACCTGCATCCTCACGGAGAGTCTCCAACGTTGTTCCCAGAGAAATGCTATCAGCCACAGTGTTCATCTCTTCCCTCCATTTGCTAGCTCTGTCCAGAAGCTTGTTAAACTGTGCCTCGACCCTGGCATCCATTTCCTCCTTCACAGGCAATCCACCAGGCTGATAAAGAGGACATTTTTCCCTAATCTTGTGCAGAGGAAACCCAAGCTGTCTGGCTAATACTCCTAAAGGATTTCCATGAATTCCTGTCACTACGCTACCCCCTAAATCTGCTGCCGCAGCTAGCCCTTCTCCGACCATCTTCTTCGTGTATACCCTACCTCCAGGCCTTTGTCGCCCTTCCAAAACAATTACCTTGTGCCCAAAGGCTAGAAGCTGACGAGCCGCAGCTAGCCCAGCCAATCCGGCACCTATGATGATCACAGTGGCCTTTGTTGCTTCCTCTGGAATTCTTGATTTGATGGCAGGAGCTACTCCAAAATTGATGTAACCAAATGTAGAAAGGAACTTGTACGCAGCTGCAACGAGGCTCTTGTGTTGACTCCGAATGGATTCCATAACGGTGTCTTCATCCAGCCAGGCATTAACATTCTCCCTCCATTTGGCAAGAATGTGGTTTCTGACCACGATGTAATTGGCCTGCTCCAAGCTACCGGCCGAAGCAACAACACCAGCCTCTATTTCCTCCTCGGTCAGCGACTCTCTTGGAAACCCAATAGAGGCAGCAATCATAGCCTCCACATCTACCTCTTTCTCAACACTCAGAGGCTTTCTCTTCCTGCCTCTGGCAGGAAACGGAGTACCTCCAAGCTGCTGATCTATGACTGCATCAAGAAGGTCCTCATCGTAAGTTGGGGCCCGAGTCTGCTGCCGAAGTGAACGTATGCTCTTTCCACTAGCTACCCCTACTGTGGTTTCCTGCAAAACAACTGAGCTCGTTTCCAGTCGCTTGCGTTTTCTCTTCTCCACGGCTCCTTTGACATCACGCTGTTGGGCATTCGTTTGTCCTACAGCTGAAGTCCTAGATGTCCCGGTATTCAGCTTCACTTCCAGCTCCATTTCTACCATGACCACCTCAAGTGGAATTCAGACTTCGCACCTCGATTTCTCTGATTTGCACGACCCCAACTTAGCCTTGTGTATCTCTGTATCCTTGTTTCCAAGTCAACGAATCAATGGCTGATGCATGATCGAGCAGGCATATGGTCAATGACCCATGCTTCAACATCACCTCTCATACAAGCCTTCGTTATTGGTTGGCTAGCTGGCTGTGCCGAGTCCAGCCTAGCTTCAACCTTTCTTGTAAAGAGCCCATGCTTACAATTTGAGATCCGCCGGCGTAGTCTGCCATGATAAATTCAAGCGCGTTTCCTTTCTTACTGCCTTCTCACAAGCAGCCTATAGAATGCTGCCTCCTGTAAATCGAAAAACGTACCAACGTCAACGACATATTAACGCCAAGTTCACGAGCCGATAAGTCAGTCAACATAACAACAATAAACACAGTCTTAGACGTTGAAAAAGAAAACCAGCATCACAGACTCGCTAAACCAGCATCTGGCGACGTCAGTGAATCAAAAAAACGACAAAACATAGTGTACAGTATTCTTGATTCCGTAGCCAAGATTTATGATTCTAAATTGATGTACATCATGTTATCTGATCTCTTTTTGACCTCAATGACCATACGCAGTTCGATAGGTAGAAAGTAGAAGGAGGATCTTGAGTTTAGCTCTGCTCTCTTAGACTCAATTCAGCTGATTGTCCATTTTTTACGGTGAGGTTCAATCCGAAGGATGAGACAGACTATACGAGATCATTTACGAACTCCAATTCAATAGAGCATCAATTTAATTTCAATGCAACTTGATGCTCTATACAACGCGACAGACGCAGGGCGAGGAAGATTCCTAGAATGTTTACTGGACATCACTTTGTGTAAATAACACAGCGGCTCCATAAGTGAGTCGTAGAGGCATTTGGATGTCCCAAAGACGGGAAAGATTACCGGACCTCAAATTCCGTACCCATTCTGCAAAATCGAATGACCGATAGAGATTACGGTCTCACATCCACAAATAAAGTGTGAGACAGTGAACTTCATTTTGCCCCAATTACGTTGCAGACAGCAGTACAGATTAGTCCCGTTGGTATGACCGTTGGTACAGTCGTATCAAAACCCTCACCACATACAAATTTGTAGCAGCACACAGCAGCGGAAGTTGCAAAGTGATGATCAGCAGGAAAGCAGTATCCATGTATTGCAGATAATTGGTGCAGACACATCAAATAAACATGCATGACCCGTTCAAAAATCAACACAAGAAACTAATAAAATGTGATATACCCTACTAAAAAGCAGGTACGAGTGTATACACCTAATCGAAGACCAAAGTACGAAATCTGGAAAAAATTTCAGAAGTTAACTCTCCGACTCGGTCGAAACTGGAAACAAGGAGCAACAAAGATGAGCAAGTACATAATATTATAGTTCCGACGAGAAGATATCAGAAATGTAGAGAGGAAACAACGAGCAAGAACCACCAAATTAAGACTAAGAAGCACTGCGCGATTAGACAACTTAACAAGGAAGTTTTGACGTCAGAGTTTAAACAGACATTTATACTGAATGTTGAATCAGCAACATTGAAAGGCGCACAGCGTTTACACTCCTACCACTACAAGGCCTAAGTAGGAATTCCAAACAGGGCATGAAGGCAAAGTACAAAGAACATGGCTTCCGTCCAAGTGTATGTCATTCACCTTGATCCAGCTAGTCATATAATTTGATCCATCCCAGCAATATGTTATGTGAGGTATAACCCATATGTGGGAGATCTGAACTAGACTCGGAACTGGCTCGGAGGCCAAGTGCTCATCATTCCATAAGTCAAAAACCTTTGCCGTTCAGATCATAGAGACAAGTTGCAACAATCTGAAACAAAGCAACGAAACTCCCTCATCTTTACAACAAATCGAGACGCAGATTGGTCAAGGAAGGCCGTAAAGTGGTAATGTAATGTAAGGCCGTAGTGAACGGGCATACTTCAACTTGGTCCCCCTCACGTTTTCCTGAGAACGTCACATTCGCTGAGTGTAACATGTATACTACATTCCTCTTCTACTGTACAATGGCGGCGCTGAGTAGATGAGCTTTCTATGGAATAAGAGGACTGATGACAGATTATTGACTTCTACGACAGGTGATACACTGACTGGTCACGAATGTATTTTTTGCATAAGCTATCTTTCAAGAACAGAAAAGACTGTACTACGTAAGAAAATTCTTCAGCCATTGTTGCGAGATGTTCCAACGACAAGTCAGAAGGGAGTCGGAAATGACCTTGACGGAGCAACGAACATCAGCAAAGAGTGATAGATACCAAATTGCAAGTGAACAGCCCTCTATGTGACAAAAAGACCTCCCACAGATTCGCCACATCTACAACGTGTCTCCCTTAATAACCCCTCTCGGGTATTATTTCCAGACATCATTTTGCGCTATTAAAATGCGCCACTCCATTGATTGGAAAACTAGCTGTCTAGTTTCAAGTTTCGCGTTAGCAGACAGCACGGTACAAAAATTAATTGCAAAACGCATGATTTGACAGGACATTTACGTCTGTTACGAGGCAGTCCGAGGGACCCAAAAATTCGGAAATCAAAACCAAAAAAAAAGCCTCAAAAAAACAGCTATCGACTTGGGACTGCAACTGAAGATGGTCCCTTCAACGGCAAAATGCAAAATTTCCTTTCCACCTGGACCGAGATTAAAGCTTCTGTTACGGCCCGCTGTTGGTCAACCTAATTGATTATCTATCCTGCCACCGAATGGCACTCTCCTCCGCCACAGCCGTTCGCACTCGTTGTTCAATCGGCCAGGCAGCACCACACACACAAAGACACACTTGCAGAACGGAACGAAGCAGGTTCAACTCACCCGTGAACTTGTTCGGCACCACATCCGCTGCCGAAAACGCCGAGCACACGCTTCGCTCTGTCAGTCGCGAGCGTTCGAAAGCTTGCAGCGCTGCTGTGCTGGGCTCGACACTCCCGCGAGACAAGAAATGAGCGATGAGGAGCCTTCGGAGTGAACCAACCACGAGCAGAGTTGCTTCCTCGCTTGCAATTGACAATATCAAGACCGGCCCAATGAGACCGCCTTTCCATCACTGCTGGCACACCGATGACTGCAAATTAGCGGACATTCTGGTCGATTTCCTAACTTCGTTCTCCTCGTCTTCGAAGAAGCGAGGAGCGGAGCGCCTTCACGGGGAGAAACTCGTGAAGCCCGTAGCTCCTTCATCTCGCTCTCCATTTACAGAAGCTTACCTTGATTCACGATAAGTTTATTTTCGCTTGTCACAATATCACTTGCCATTGCGAAAGGCTCCAGTGCAAACATGAGTACAACTCTTTCCTAAATGATCGATTTGTCGTTCGCTTTGAGCATCACAATTCAATGTTTCTGTTTTGATCCTAGATGCACACTGAAAGTCGGCCAGTCTTGAAACATAACCGAAATAATATGTTTATCTTCTAGCATTGCCCTTAACTAATGTTGCATGATGTAGTTATTTTCTGGGGAAAAGGAGGCTTTTTTATTGCCATTAATTATTTTAACGGAAGAAAATTGCTCGTATTATTTTTTGGTTAAAATGAGTATTTTTCAGATTATATTTGTGTAAATGCCCTGGTAGAAGCCATCATTTTGTGCGTATGCCTCTTTTGCATTTATATGCGTGAAATGTATCGTAAATCTCACAAGTGCAGTGATGATTCCACGCTACTTGAAGTTTATGATGCCGCATGGAGAGATTTAAGCGTCAAAACTATCCGAAATGTAATTAAGTTATCATACATTGTGAACATTATACATTTAATGTATATCTAAAACGAGTCAAGCTTAATTATAAATGTTCGAAGGAAAATTCTTAAGATAACTTAGTCATTAAATCAATACCATGTCAGAATTCTTACTATATGATTACATGCTCTACAACCGTTATTCTATATAATCGATCCAATGTATTTTAAAACTCACTATACGGTTCAAATTCAACACTATTATCGTATGATCAAAAATTTAAACGTAATTGTGTTCTGACTTGGAAGTGATCGTTGTCTTCACGCAATCAGAATGGAGGTGTTTATTTTTGTATGTGATCAGTTCATCCACATTTTCGACCTAAGCATTTTTTTTGTTAAAATGTTAAATAATAGTGGATAAAAACTAACATTGCATACTTTGAAAATGTATACAGTTTTGTATTTAAAAATAATCTGAAGACATTACTCCTTGATTTATAAAAGTAGGAACCGCTAGTTATTACTCAGTTAGGGTTAATTAGCCCTTCACTCTACTAAATGCTTTGATTGGTCGATGTTGGGTTATAGGTCCTACTATTCTATTTCTAAAATAGATACTCGACCAATCAGAAAAGAAATTGTAGTAGGGGTGGGTTAATTAACCCCAAGTGAGTAATAAGCAGCCATTCCCTATAAGTAATATCCAACATGTGACATACATCATTGATAAAAAAATATTCAAATAAATCATTCTATCACTTTTCCAGCACTTTGTTGATATAAGTTACTAGAAGAAAACATTTTGTCTCAATCGAACTATTATCTAGACTATTGATCAGATAGTTTAACCAGTGTGTTAACAAATCTTACTATGAATATAATTCTTTCTCCAAATTGAAGTAAAATATCATTATTAAAGAAAAAGAATATCAAGGCAAGAACTTGTAATAACGAATAACCCAAAAAGCCTTATAAGGTAAAAATGTTTTACCGTTAATGCAACTTGTTTTCCAAGTATTGGTTAAAGAAGGAGAACATATGATCATTGATTCAAAATTTCTATGTATCTGGGCGGTGAGAGAATTATTTTGGTGCCACTCTTGCGAGGCATACGCAGTTCCTTTATTTCCTTCGCAAAAAAGTGTCGCAAGATCGACATGAGATTTTTAAGCTTGAGGTTTAAATTGACTTATTGCATTCAATGTCATGAAATCTGGCTCCATTTTGCAACAATTTATAATTTACATGCTCAAGGTCTACTATACAATGTAATCTGGTGCACATCGTTCTATGTCCTTTTGTAAGAGACAATATTTGAATATATGATCTTAAGGAGAGATATCCTGACAGTTTTGAGATTATTCAAGTCTGCATTACACGAGACAACGATAAATATTAGAATATTCTCGACTCTCGATAGAGAATTAGAGTACAAGGCCGTTCTAATTCAAAGTTATAGAATCTTGCTCCAATTTATACCAACATTTAAAACAAATGTGAGGCTGAGCTGTTATGTAATTGGGGCAATGTGGAGTGAAAACAAAATTTTACCTACTATGATCTTGGAGAGGATGAAATACTTAAATCTAAAAGTTTTTTCTCCCTCGACAAAGTATTACATAATAATTGTAGCTATTTTTTCTTTAATTGAAACTTGTGCTTATAATTCTTTCCGAGGTATATGTTTGGGCCGAGAATTCCCTACAATATATTATACCTCTCATAAGACTCATATCATGATGGTTTAACCAGCCCTCAATTTGTAAATGTAAAGACTTCTTTGCCTGGACAATTTTAAGTATATAGTAGGCCATATGACTAAGAAGACCTAATCTTTGTATTTTTTTAACTTTCTATTCTTACTTTCAAGTTTCAACCACCTCAATCTTCATTGACAAAGTCTATAGATTTATTTCTCATCTTCCCAAGTGTTTTTTTTTCACGTTACCACAAAGTACTCTAATATGCACATAATGTAGTATTAGGTGTAAATTAAATGATGATTCAATAATTTTAATAGGGAGGGGCTAGTTATCACTCACTTTGGGTTGACTAGTCTTCACCCCAGGATACGATTTGAGTTCATTTGTAGATCCTTATAGGTGTTAGTGGCGTTGCATTGATGGCGGTTAACATCACTAAAGTGGTTCTTCTAATCAAAATTGTACTACATGCTTCAATAAGAAGAGTATATCCTCGCGCGTACTAATTTTTCTTACGGATCCATTCATACACTCGCATTGTCTTGCAACGCTATGGATTGTTCATTCTACTATCTACTCTTCTCTATCAAACGTTTTGCAAATGCGTAGTCGATGATTCAATCTTCAACACATAAACGTCGACCAAAAGCTTAATTGAAACAGCTTTGTGAAAAATCTGCATTTTTTTCCATCTGTAGAAGTCTCTGTGAAACATCTCGGCACGATTGAGAGCACTTGAGGAAGGCCGCTACAATGAACAAGAGGTGGAAAAAGTTTTTTTTACTACGATTGCAGATTTCTTCCTACTGCTTTGCTTTAACCTATAAGAATTAGGTGTTTGAACGCATGGTGGTGATCTCTCGTTCGGGTAGGGATGGGCACGTAGCCGGCTAAATTATGGCTAGCTGGCTAGGCGATACAAACGGCTAGCTGGCTAGTGCCCCAAGTTTAGCCGGCTAGCCGTTGGCTAAAAGTCTCACCACATATTTCGGAAGTACATACACATGTCTAGTTTGTACTCTCTTTGCGCGAATGAGAGTTCTCTCCATGTTTTAGTGTTCTAGTATTTCTGAAAACAATAACACATATCATCCTTGCACACGAGAATTTTGATGGCAAAAACAAGGATTCGGTAGAGAGAGTGAACATGACAGTCACTTCACACATTACATAAAGATTTGATGGCGTTATGGATCAAGACGAAGAATCCGAGAATGATGAACTTGATGTTCTACCTTTATCTTCACTGGCAGTATCTTCTAGTGGTCATCGTATAGAAAAAAAAACACACATCTTGGATTGTCCGTACTTTGTACACCAAAATCCAATAGACTTGCTTGCATTGCGAGCAAGTCCTGTTCGAGAAATTATTCAACCACTTTGGCGATCTCAAATCTCGTTCTACATTTGAGGAACAGTCATGGCATGGCATCACGCACGAATCACTAGAAGGCGCATTGCCAAGTGATCCTTCCCAAATCACCTTTTCAAAATCTGGTTCATATTTAGAAGTGCATAACATTCTTGATAATGAGACGAAGGCAAAGATCATGACAAGTGTGGTAGATTGGATGATTGACACGAAGCAAAACTTTTTTTCAGTTGAATCAGTTTCTTTCAAACAAATGACGAACGCTCTAAATCGTTTTTGGTCTCGCTGTTCGCGCATTCATTCTTAGATTAGTTTTTTGAGTAATAGCAACTAGCTGTCATCTTTATTTAATTACTTTGATATGTGATCTAGTTGTTTCGTGAATGATGATTTATGATTAATTTCTGTTAAATTCGTGATACACTAAATGAATTCGTGAGTTATTTTCAAATCATTCAAGTTCTTAGTTTCTCATATTAGATTTTTTGAGAATGAAGCAACTTAGTGTTATCTCTATTTGATTACTTTGATTTGTGATCTAGTTGTTTTATGAATGATGATTTATGATTAAAGCTTGTTAAATTCGTGATCCATTGAATGAATTCTTGAGTTATTTTCAAGTTCTCATGTTCTTAGATTAGTTTCTTGAGAATGAAGCAACTAAGTGTCACCTGTGTTTACTTATTTCAATCTGTGGTTTGGCTGCTTCTTGAATAATAGTTTACATTTAATCTCGGTTGAATTCGTCATCAATGGAAAGAATTGATGAGTTTTTTGATATCCCAAGTCGGAAGTGCTTCGCAATGCAAGCCTCCAGAGGAACTCATGTACATGAGGTGAACTACATATAGATTGCAAAAGAGAGAACATGACTTTGCACTAAATCGTCAGACCAATTAACTAGCCACTCACTTTTAATAATATCTTAGTACTTAGTAATCATCATGTAAATGTATACTTTAATTTTTACAAGAAGAAAATTACGCAAACAATTTGTCTTCCGTATTTGTATTGTGTTATGTGTATTAAGTGGTTACACAAATTCTTGATTGGATCTTGACAAACACTTACGTTAGCATTACTTGTGCCAACCCATGGAAAAAGAAATTTATTCAAATCCATGGGCTTGGGCTGTGATATGTATGCATTTATTTTCACAATTTTTCATTTTTGAAAAATTATACAACTTATAAAAAACACTTGCTACATACTTTGTGCTACTTTCATTTATTATTCTTCTTGTTACATCCGAATTCATATCATAAATGTATCTATCTTGTTTACATCTAAATGTTTTCAAATATCACAATGTGAATTATATCACCATGTAATGTCATCAAATTTATCTTAACATGCTAATTTGAAAATTATTTATCATTTATATTTAGAATAAAAATTTATTGTTAGGAAATTTAAATATATATATTCTTACTCACAGAATCATTAGAAATGAATAGGGAAAATACATATACATGTAATTTATTTATTCTGTCTTGATTGGTAAAATCAGAAACAATTCTAATCATACATAAGTGTATAATTTCATATACAAAAGGTTCTACCAAGTTGGTTACAATTGGTAAAAAAAAATGTCAATCGCTTGAAAAAATACGCCTCATATATAATCAAACCGAAAAATGAATACTTTCAACTTATTCATGAAGTAAAATCTTTCGAGTGAAATTTGACTTGATTGAAAACAACTTTTTTTGGTTTTTTTGAAAGGATATAAGACCTAAAGGAAACATAGATCCTTCAGGAATCGAGTGTCATCCTGAAACAATTTATATCAAAGTATGCATTTGAATTACAATTTTTGGTTGTCAAGTTTGAATCAGTGCGGCTGAGTGCTCAACTTAGCCCTAAAGCTCATATTTTAGGAAATGTAGCTACGATGGAGAATAATAAATGCAGGAACCGAGAGAGAATTCAAAACACAAAGCATATTTGATTTGATAGCCGTATAATCTTAGATATGTGTCATGTTGATGTGCAACATGTACGTTATGAACATTTTGACATTGGAAGAGAAGAGTGTACCTCGAAATAATAATAATCATCCAAACATTTTTTCCATCCATGTTACCCTACGAGAGGTAGAGGTATGAGCCCCTGCGAACGTGCCATCAACCTACGACCGTCTGTGCGTCAGGTCACCGTTCGGGACGTGACGACGTTGCATCCGAACATGCGGCAGTAATGGAGACGGAGACAGGGACAGGGAAGGGACTGGAGAGCTCTCAGTGATCGGGAGTCGGGAGCTGCTGTGCTGCTCATTACAGTACAAGCCTGGCCCACGCTTTCCCCTTGAGGCAGCGAGCGAGCCAGGCACGCACTCGCACAAACTTGTTTGTAGAGACGCCGACGAGGAGGAGCAGGAGAAGAGGAGTCGGGGATGCTGAGGTGAGCGTCTTCTTTGGTTTCGATTCTGTCGTGGCATTCGCATCGAGAAGAGAGATTTGTGTGGCGGAGTGAGCCGGCAATCTGATCTCGAGAGGAAGGAATTAGCAGTCTCCGATTCACTTGCTACCTGCAGGACTGGCGAAATGTTGAGGGTGGCGAGCAGGCGTCTGTTGCCAGCGCAGGCTGAAATTTCTGGATCAATATGGGAAGGAAGGATGCTGGCTGCGAGCCGTGACTTTCATTCGACACCTGCTTCGGGTTCGTGCTGCCTCCTCTGGCCATCATTGAATTGCCAGCAGATTCATGACGAGTTTTGTGGTTTCGAGATCAGCGTTTGCGGTCGATTGCACGATCAGTTTTTGTCCGTGCAAGGCTGTTTTGTGCGTCTGTTTGTGAATCTTCGATCGAACGCTCTACATACCCTGAAATTAAGCAACCTGATTAGGACGTGGTCACTTTTCCTTTTATTTTTTCTAAGTACAACGCCTTTGTACGGAGTCTGAGCGCCCACCTTGTCTCCGCTTAGATTACTATTGTAGTTCAAGTAATCCTACATCGAAGGATATTGCGATTCTTTTTTCCTCCATAAGGGGATTTTCTTATTCAAACGAACATGGTTTCTTCTTTGGTATGGCAGCAGTTCTATATTTGTTTCAGTTTTCTAGAATTGCTTTCCCACGGATCACTGTTGATGAATGGAATCTAGAGTATCGAACAGCCGTGGGGATTGGGCAATTCAAAGAGGTAATTGTAGCCTGCCAATACTGTGGAAGGAAGTCGGCATCAATGAGGATCACTTTTTTCTAATCTATGAGGGTTTTCTTCCTGACATTAAAGGCTGAAATTTTGCAGCTGCACCTACACCCGACCCAAGAGAACCAAAGGACTGGAGCACAGGTTTGTTTCTTTGTCTCGCAACGAGGTCTTTGAATGTCATAGAACGTCATACTATGAGTTTGGAGGCCTTTTCTCTCTTTTCGCACCTGTCAAGTCTTCCTAGACTTAATTGTGTTTTGTAGGTCATAATTTTCCGTGGATATTTGTGTCCAGCATGTAAGTAAGCCCGTTGATCATTAGGCTAGTTGATACGACATATTAATTCAGGCTCAAACTTATTTATGAACGTTTTGTATCTCCAGTTCTCGACAAGAGTATGAACACTTTGTTTCTGACGGAGCTGTTCCGTGGTATGAACCTGACTCTGAAGCACTTCTTCGACAGAAAAGTAACCGTGAGTATTCCGTCGAGCACTCTACCTTCACGTTGTTCATGAAAGAGCATAATTTTGATGTGGACAGATCATGATGATGCCATCCTTCTCAACAGCTTCAATGTATATCTCTGCGCTTTGAATTAGCAGATTGAGCTCACAAGTACTAATATTTGTAACATGTTTGAATGGAACCCTTTAGATCAATTACCCATTCGAGAAGGGTCCCTTGAGCCCACGATTCCGAGGAGAGCATGCACTTCGTCGCTATGCCTCTGGCGAGGAGAGATGTATCGCCTGCAAACTATGTGAAGCTGTACGTCATTCTATAGCCATTGGATATACGAATTGTGTAACAATATCTTAGTTTTTTGATTGAGCCATACATAAATGATGGGTTGCTTCAACTTCACAATGTCAAGTAACATAATTACTACCCCAAACGAGCATCTTCAGCGTGTTAATTCTATCAACCGTGCAGCAGTGATTGAATGCGGTCACTGCAACTTATTGGTTTACTTGCACATTTATAGGTGTGCCCTGCACAAGCTATTACTATTGAGGCCGAGGCACGAGAGGATGGTAGTCGGCGTACGACCAGGTACGGTGTATTTCTATTTAGTGCGCTATACTTCTTGATACTTCATGGTAACGATTGTTAATTGACAATTCTTTTTATTCCCAGTGCGAAGCTTCGATACTAAATGGCCTTTCATGTCAACTAAGCATCTATGTCACCATTTGTCGTCATCTATCTCTTCTGCTCCTTGTTTATCAATGCAGGTATGACATCGACATGACGAAGTGTATCTATTGTGGCTTCTGTCAAGAAGCGTGCCCAGTGGATGCAATTGTTGAAGGACCGAACTTCGAATTTGTCACCGAGACTCATGAGGTATACTCCTATAGCAATTGTCATAGCCATTGTCTTCCGCAATTCTGCGAAGCAATATCATAACCAAATGGGATTGTTCGTTCGTCGTTTACTCGACGTCACTATCGGGAATCATTTTCTCGTCATAGTTGCCTTCAATTTTTTGGTTATAACGCTGAGTCTCATATTGTTATAAAAATAAGTTCTGGGACCTCAGCTGGATAGCGCGGAATACGTTCACTGTAGATTACGGTCTATATTTCCTTTCCATTTCCACTCTAGTAATGTCTATTAACTGCCGAGCTGTATGTCGGTGATATCTTCTTGCTTGTTGCTAAGACCCAGTTGCGCTTGCAGGAACTTCTATATGATAAGGAAAAGCTGTTGGAAAATGGTGACCGATGGGAGACTGAAATCGCGGAAAATTTGCGCACTGAATCTCTTTACCGTTAAGCTTGCAGTTTCACAACGATACTATTCAGATCAGCACAGTCAATATAAGGCTATTATTCGAAGCTTCCATCCTCAAGGACCTGGTGAGCTGTTCATTGACTTTGCATCATACTGCAAATTGGCGGAAAATAAGTGGAGCTTTCTACCCCTCCCTTTTGAGTGTGCTGCCGTAGAAACACGAGAAAGACAGCTCCTGGTGAACAACTTTTTTGAATTTGGTCCGTCGTATTCCCTTTTTGGAACACTTTCAGTTCCAAGTATAAGTCATCCGGATGACAAATTTTATTCCATGCATTCCGATATTTGATATGTCTGATGTAGCTTCTATTTTGAGCTTCGCAAGTTTAGAACTACCTTTGGTGACCTTATTGGCTGGGGTGCCGTGACCCAGAGAGGAGAGTCTGTTATCAGGAAGTGAAGCACAACCGGACAGACTCTATTGAATGTGCTCTGCTGGCCCAAGCTTTTTCCACAGTCTGTGCATTCGAAACAGAATAGCGGACAAGAAAATGTGATGACGTCATCATGTAAGAAGAGGGAGGCTGTTTCTTGTAGCACTAGTGCGTTGTCATGGACGACATGTTCCTGAGTTGACACCGGAAAGTGAATGATTTAAAGATGGACCAACAGTAGCAAGGTAGTTGAGTTTTGAATGTAGAGTACTGATCATTGAGTAAAGGGAAGCCTGAGTCCAAATATCGTGGTATCCGATCGTGTCTTCTCAGGATAATGGTACTCCTCTTTCACAGGTTCGGTTGCGGACAATAATGGATAACCATGTTCGAAGGGTCTGATGTCTTCTCAGACGTCACTGAAGGATTGCATGGTTTCATTTCTGCGTTTTCACTGTACTTGTACCCCTAGGTTGTTGTCCACTTTTGGCAGAGGTGAATAATGGAGATAGTTAATCCTTGAAACTTATTTCTTCTATCAAAGACACTCGAATTTCTGAAATATCATTTGTTACTCTTCTGTTCAAACATGTTTTATTACCAAGTCCTGTCCCATTACAGCAAGATGACCAAACATTTTCCCTTTATGTAGCAGGTAAAAACTTTTCTTTTTTGCAAATTATATCTTTAAAGATACGACGATGGAAAGAACTTATAACCAGAAGGGTCGGGAAAGGTGAGTCGTTTGGAGTTACTATTAAGGTCCTACCTCGTTAATATAGCTTGGAACCCCATCTGACAAAATCACAGGCTATACTCGAAGCTGATGGAGGCCGAACGAGGATTGAAGACTCTGAAGGCTTCAATCCAGTGTAAAAGCTTAGAAGTCACTTCAACAGACGTATGGTCTTCACACGACAAATCAGCAAGTTGGGTGTGTTCGTTGGATTCTTCAGATATGATGCTATATCTCTCACTGCTGGAAATTTCTCTTTTGTAGTATTGTAGGTTCTTCTCCTCTAGGCTGTTGGTACAGGCTGGCTGCAAACTATAATATAGACTTTTTGAAGCTATCGAGTCTGTGGTAGTAATGAAGGAGCGTTCTTCGTTGTGGAGATAGAATAAGTGTGTTACGCAAACCTTGGACTCCCATGCTCATACAACTCTTCAGTCGTCGTTTCTTCTATCAAAAACTCAGTGATCAGCATCAGCTAGTCTTCTTTTGACTTGTAATGGCAGACTTCTCTGTCGTTCTCCTTCTGTTTGTTACTAACATCGGCTTCAAGTACTAGTTGATCTCCAGCCACCGATTGAATATCGAACATGTCCTCCTGAATTGTGAGCATCAACCCGTAGCGCAGCATCCTCATCCAACTCTTCGTAATTTTTCCTCGGTTCCGCTGGCTCGTTGCCAAATATATGAAAAGGCAGTTTCGCTTGCACTGACTTAATCTGTTCCTGTTCGTGAACCTCAAAACAGGTTAGACCTTCCTTTCTGTTGTTTCCCTTTGAAGATACGTTCCACGTCAACGAAATTGAATTGCTTCCTGCACTATAAAGGGAAATGTCTCTAAAGTGGGCTCACGAGCTGTAGAGGTATTTGGGCCCGACAAGGGAGAATGGACGAAGATAAGCTTGTACAGATCTTGAGTAGACAGTGAAAAGAGGAATGGGAGAGAGGTCGGCACCTCATACGTTTGTGGGAAAATCCCAAACGCGCGGTATTCAAGACTGTGTAACACAGGATCGGTGAGGATGTGGTAATCACGGATTCTTATAGAGGGACCCTCGGGTGGTCACGGTGCCATCCAGAGTTTAGTATGCTCACAAGAGCAATCACTTCTACGATCAATCATAACAGTCAGTGGTCAGGTCTAAAGAGGGAGGCTATACATTTTAATGGCAAGTAGACTGCGGTAGACTTTGTCTAAACAATGCAAAACGATTGAGAACAGAACAGAAACTCCTAGACATATGATACAGCTGCAGCAAACTGGATGGGACATTGTCACGAAAGGAATCCACAACCATTGAGCCATTACTTTTTCCTTCTTCCGGGGTTACAGTGATCAGCCAGTTGTTACCGGAGTAGGTGAGTATCGGGTAAGAGATCTGAGACACTAGATGAATGTTCTGATAGACACTAATCAATCTATTTATCTTTTCACTCAGAAAGTGAAGATTTAATACCACTGTCGTAGATAACCAGACCTGTTCGATTGGAAATATTAGTAGCGGAGTACGTGTTAACGATGTTGCTTCGTCATGGAGGTGCCGACCCAGATAACGATCTTCTCTACTTTGGTGCGCTATTTATCATAGCCAGCGTTAGACACATTGAAGGCGGGGCAGAGGCAAAGAGCCCACCCTCAGCTCTATTGCCACTGATATCAGCAAATGCTTTGTCTATCTCTGGCCCAAGTTCGATTGGACCACACTCAAACTCATTTTCATAGAAGAAAACCAAATCATAGTCCATTCCAGGCCCATGCGCAGGAAACTGCGAGTCTGAAGACCACAGTATTCACTATTATACAACTCGGATTGAGAGTAAATAGAGGCTAGCAGTACAAGCTGGCTATCAGGTTTTGTCGTGTTACGATCATCGAAGTAGTACTGTTAAACACATGGTACATATTCTTCAAAGTACTCGTGATGACAACCACACGGACAAATATGTGCCTGCGTGTGGTTGTCATCAGGAGGACGAAACTAGTTTAACATGGGTTCCAAAACACATCTAGAACAAGAGACTTGGTCCCTAGGCTAATGATTCATTGGTCAAGGAGTATCACACATTTTGAGAAGATTAGACTGTACTGTTTGATTTTCTTGTCGACTTGGCATCATATAGTCAGGAAAAACAGTTCATAACATGAGTAAAGAAATGATTACTATGAAGTTTTAAGAGTCGTATTGTAATTCTATTCTCTCACCGAGACTGTCGTCATTCTATCGGAGGGCCGGGATGCTGCTTGTTCTCTTTGGAAGTCAGATATTACATTTAGTGAAACCTGTCAACCACATGACTAGGATCCTGTTGTATATTCTCTGCGCACCGTACAAGGAATTTCGCATCATTGGGAAATCTATTACATAGGTCCCGAAGCAAGAAGTAGAAGACCTCCCAATGTCATCAAGCTATTGCAGACTTTTCATCCAGCTTGCCCGACGTCATTACGTGTTCTCAAAGCGTGTGTTACTCCTTGACATTGGACCATCCTGTCTTCTCGAAGCGGGTGATACTCCTCTACGTTGGATGAGAAATTTGCATAAACATCACGTGTTACGTTCCAGGTTTGTTTTGGAAACCATGTGTAAATAGTTTAGTCGAATACGTGGGTGCGTGTGGTTGTCATAACTTGTTCCTACAAGTACTTTGAAGAATATAGTGCCCATGAGTTTAACACCACTACGTGATCGAATCGTAACACTACAAAACCTGATAGCAGTCTACTGGCGAGCTTGAACTGCTAGCTTCTATTTACTCAGTCCGATTAGTGTATTAGAGAATACTGTGGTCTTCGTACTCGCATTTTCCTTCCGGTATAACCTGCCAGCAAAGCTCATCTTACCCTCGCATGGGCCTGGAATGGACTATGATTTGGTTTTCCTCTAAGTAAACGAATTGTGACGATACACACCTTTATATCGTCTTGTTTTCACACTTCACATGTACAACAAGCTGATTGCTAGGGAAAATGCACGGATAAAACGACAACGAAAATCAAAATGATATGAAAACGACATATGATATCAAAATGGAGATAAAATGAACTCGGAAGAACGACTAAGTCGTTTTTTTAACCAATCCCTCTTGACGGATAAAATACAACACTCACGACAGTGGATTATCCACTTGGAAAAGCAGGTGGAAGATCGCCCTGCCTGTCTGAAGAAGCATAGAATTTCATAAACAACCCTCGCTGTGAACCCTACGTTACCAATCCGTGTCAAAATCGTTGCAGTTTGCAACAAAACGTTACTCTTCTAACTAATTATTGGTAAATGCTGTAGTCCTTCCATATGATCAATCATACACTACAGTTCAAAAGAAAAAACCTCTCATCTAACGTGTCTTCAGACCGTTCTCCCTTATGTACACAAAGTCCAAAACCTTCAAGTACAAACTAAGTACACGATGAAGAATTTCCCTTCAAACTCTTTCTAAATTCTTGATTAGCTGCAATCTAACTTTACCAAGTTTGATTGTAACTAATCAAGTCGACGAGAATTCTTGGTTCAAATAATTGGCGAACATTCTCTTCACGCTCTGGGGATCTGAGGGTGGAGGTGGACCTGACAGACTTGTCTGGCTCGCCAGTTTGACGAAGGTGCGTTTCAACCTCCGTAGCTCTGGTAGCCCCACGCTTCTCTGAAGGCTTATGTATATACAAAGTTAAGGAACGCTTATTCACCTGCATAGTGAGAACTAAGTGCAAGAGATGCGATCGAGCTCTCGGACCTCCTACGCTCTTCAGTTTCAACAGAAGGAAAACGGAAGAATCAAATGTAAGACTACCCAGCGCGGAACTATTCACGCTATAATAATCTGCAAACGGACTGACCTCTGTTTTTCTGAAAAATTGAAGGGACTAAACATAGCCAGTTATCAACATACCACTGATTGCCTATCGGTAACATGCACAGCAAAAACCACCAAATAACAACCAACTCAACGATTTGCGAAAAGGATATCTCTGGAATACCATCGCCTATTGGCACCTTGCGGACAACTGCCCCCGAACCTTGTGTCTGCGCCTCCACAAGTATTTTCATGACCTCCTGCAGTTCAATATAATGTTAGATACAATGCCACTGTTCCAATCAATTTAATCCACGATTATCATGATTCCTAATCAGTCTCGAAGCAACACCAAGAGCTGCTTACCTGTGTTGCTCGATCTAGTTCATAGAGAGAGTTGGTATCAGCATGACGAGTCTGCACGAAACACTAAATTGGTCAACTTTGCTCAAATTAACAGAAGTACACTTCCATAGAAGAAAGATTCAGAACTGAGGCTATGTCACCCGCTTTTAATGCACTCAACAGATCGTCGCCGTTTTCTTCCATATTTTGTAGATCAGAAAATTCCATAACAATATCTCAGATGAGGAAGTGATCACTTGATCTTCTTGGTAGAGTAGCAATTTGAACAGTCCAGGTTAAATTACCGTCTGAGTGGCAACTGTTGGTTGCAAAACTCCAGAGTTTCTTGACCCAGGCACTCCCGAACCAGTTAAAAAAGCTGTCGCTTTCACTATAGCCTCGGATGTTTCGTCAATTTTCTCTGCATATGACACATTTTCAAATTGTACTTAGGGTTGCTTCACATGAGCTTGTTCTTTGACTTCTCAACGTTGCTTGATTTTAAAATTCCAATTGTAAAAAAAAAACTCAGAAAGAAATAAGGAACTTCTTGAACCTGAGATAGGAAAAGTTGATACCTAGAGCTGACTTGTGCTCAAAAAGGGGAGAATCCCAACGGTTTTTCCCATCTGGCCTCTCGAACCGCCTGACTAAATCATCAAAACTGCATCAAATAAGAGTATCAATAACTGTTTCCACGAAAAACTCTCTTACATTCCACACTTTGGCGAGCTTATACATTATTGACAACAACGGTAAACCTCAACTAAGCAGATATTCCACATTTGTAAATCCAACTAATCTCGAGAAGGCACAAGAGCAATCCATAACGGAGAGTTGCACCAAACTGCAGCAGAATGTAATGTGTGTCCTTTTTCGCCCCCTTAATACCTTGGATACATCTAAAGTTTACAAGTGATCTGATGAATATGAAACTTCAAAAAGGGGAAGACCTTCTCGCACAAATTGTCAGCACATGTTCTTACATTCTATCTTCATAAGAAGCTGCACCTTCTTTCTGCCTAAGCTGATTCCAAGCTCTGCAGTCCTCCTCACCTGCATCGCAATGCAACTGACAAGACTCACATTGGTGCCATCAGAGCTGGAGAAAAAAAATGGGGAAAAATAAGGTAAAAAATTGTTAAGGATCCATTAACTTGGACGCATCCAGTACCAGATTGTCATACACTTACCACACAATAGAGTATCCCTGCAGCTCTTGCCAAGCACCACAACTCATATCGGTAACCCTGTAGACGAATACTCCTCTCGCGTTAGATCGAGAAATTAGCGTTTTAAGTGCGATTCAAATGGGTGTCAAAATCTCATCAAACTGGCAGATTCTTAAGTGCTTAACTTGCACACATCGTAAATGTTGAGAAATTACGATACGCTGTGCAGGATCCGATGACAGACCTTGATGTTGTTCAGCGAGTCGATAATCACTATTGCGTCCTTCGAAGATTTTCGATCCACGGCAGACCTCAAGACTCCGCGGAGATTCTTTTCGCTAGGCATGTCTGATGAAAAGTTTCCAGTCAGAGGTACTGCTTCACATTTAAAGAATTGTTGAACCCTAATAAATCATCATGAGCCTGTCAAAGGACTTCCTTAAACCCAGGTTCATTCGCGAGTACTTGAGCGTTCTCTCTCAAACTTGCAAAATCTGGAAAGTCACCGCTTTTAGTAAATGGAAGACTTCAAAGGCTAAAAAAGACATAATTCTGCTCGGCGCTAGCTTCTGCACCACGATGCGAATCGAGTTCATTCGAATTTGGTTCTCAGTTAGATTCTCAATACGAAATTTAGATAACAAATTTGGACCGATGTCATTCTCGTCTGAGCATATCATGATATTCAAATTCAATTTTCATACCTTTGAATGATTCATTGCGATCGAGGTTTAAGGAAGGCTCGTTGATGAGCGACACCGGTTTTGATTTGGCCTTCTCCAGAGCTTTGATGAGAGCTGCGGCAGCGGACGACTTGCCACTGCAGGGCTGCCCACACATCACTACAAGCGCCATAATCTGACTCCGAATCTTTCCTGCGACCAAAGTGATCGAATCCGATCCGACTTGCGAATTACAAAATCCTCCGATGGTGATCCGAGGTGAATTTACCGACTCAGGGAAGCTCTGGCGGGCTGGGTGCTCTCCAGTACTGTGCAGCACGTATCCAGTCTCTGGCACAGTCAAGGTCCTACGTAAGCACTGTATGGTTCACCTCGTAGTGCTTAGTGAGTCCACCTTTGCTGGCTGAAACATTCAATGGATGGATTTAAAAGCTCTGTGAAAACACATCCACTCAGATATGTAGCAACACCAGTCAAGCAAATTACACCAACCCTGGGCCAAAGGAGAACGAGAGAGCTTCATACATCACTGGCCTCGGTTTGAAACCACATACAGTCCTCAATATCGAAGTGGTAGTTATTGTCCGGTGTCTACCCTTCTGAGAAATTTGGTGCTCGCGTGTTGAGTATGGCTAGAATGAAGTTCTAAGAAGAACTAAAACTCTGCTGAATATGTCACTTGAAAATTTCATGTTAACGTATCTTCTCAATTCAAGTATTTTCAAATTGAAGATTTTTTTTCTTCTAAAACTAATACATTTTGTTTTGTCACATCAACGATCTTTCTACCCTTTGCATATCGATCTTTTTACGTCTAAGAAGTAAGATTAAAAAAATCATTAGTTATATAATGAGTGATAAGTTAGGGTAGTTAGAATCGTATCATGAATGATGAAGATATGCTAAGAGTAGGAAGTGATTACACCCAAATTTTCTGCTACATGTATGCTTTGGGTATTAAATTGGGTAATGCTCAATTTGCAGCTATAAATGTCATTCATCTAACAAATTCTGGATACTTATGCAATTACCATAGTTCTATATTCTAGTCAGTTGGGATAGGGAAGTACTTGATCCCCTTCCAAGTGCAAGTATATCAAGACAGTGAGCATCGGTGTGTCTTATTATTGAATACAAATAGCGAACGTATATATTCCGTTGAAGAGCAGGTTACGACTGCAAACGTGGTATTGTATTTTTTAAATAGAACACGGTTTTGAAGATATCAATACCTAAAATGTAGCCATAGAAAGCAAGATCTCCAAGCACATAGATACTTGTAGAGATAAACTTTTTCTTACTCTCTCCTCATAATTATGTAGAGATATAGATTCGATTTCATACGTTCATGTGAAAGATCATGAGAGAGTAATTACTAGTCACAAAGTTAATAATCGCTTTATCGTATTACAAATCTTAAATTATGCAATATGCCTCAAGAGCTAGTGCTGAAGCTAAAAGTGCAATTGCTTTAGATGATGCCTTTTTTTCCTCTTGTTGTTTGTAAAATTGTTAAATAAATGATTAGTTCATTTAGGATGTGGTATGAAATATTCATATTGTGAAGCTATCGGGGCTAGCCTTATGTTGCAAAATTCGTTTCATACATGCATGGCTTGACGAGGTGTTCCGATACTTTTTGCTGTATTACTTAACACCCCCTTATCTAGTAGAAGGAAAGAAGACCAACACAAAGTCTGGATTTGGAACTTCCATATGCAAAGAGAAGTTGAAATTATTATGTAAAAAAAGGTAGATTTGTTAGTCCAGTTGCTGAAGAGTGTAAAAAAAATGTATGGATGGTGATAAAAAGGAAAACCGCCTAGGTAAGGTACGAAGGCATAACAGGCTTAAACTAGGAATTCTGTGATATCTGGTTCGGCAGTCTGTCCAAAGTTGGCCTCTTTGTTTATAATTCAATCTTCTTCAAATAAAACACTACATTTCAAGTTATCGTATTTCTATCTGGAGAAACTGGAACCACCCGGTTTACTTAAAAACACTTTGTCTAACTGTAGCAGACATACAACAGACGTGACATGCTCAATAATAATAAACGTCAAAGACTACTCTGAGTATCCTAAAGTAGAGGCTTTGGCAGTGGTACTGTATCGACCGTCGAGGGGTTCACTGCAGTAAATTTTTGTTCTATTGTAGTGGTTAGAGTCAGAGTAATATGAACCTTGCATTCACTGGACATGGGTGTTTCTTATCCAGATACGTGACTTGTTCACAACACTGAGTAGAGACAACGTGGACATTGAACAGTAGTTGTGTAGACTACGAGCGTTAGACTTTCACTGAAGCAGTGGCCTAAGTGTTGATAGTCTGTGGACCTCATGCAAGATCCAGACTAATATGACAGACTCATGTAACATACTACTGATAGCAAGTAGAGTACACAAAACTTCCATATGAACCTGGTTCAGAGCAGAGAAGAGCGAGAAGAACTGGACAGATCCACATAACAGCTGCCAGTAGGTTCATGGTCATGAGAAAATGGTCTGAATTCTAGAATTCGTCACGGGGAACTCAACTGCGAAATCAAGCCTTTTTCTGACGTGTTGCCTTCAGAAGAACGTTTCGTCAGATAGACGAGTTCGATATAGTCTGTGGGCGGTGCTATTGACCCCTGACCTGATATGATTTAAAGCGCTGAGACACGCCGCAAGTGATTGTTTTCGTATTTAGAATCGGAGTTTGTTGGACAGACATGTTTTCGCTGTGATGATCTCATCGTCCTAGATACTGTTTGCGGTGGTGTAGACAAAAGAGTTTCTGACTCCGTATATAACCGTATGGCAACATGTATAAAGCATGATCTTACTTGCGTCTTCAAAGTGTCAACCGATTACCAGACATCGTGAGATGTTTCGAGATCCTACATACGTAGGCTAGCATGCCTTGGATGAGCATGACAACACCTTCCTGCAGTTGCTGGGCCAACGACTTTTAGGCAGCAACTTTCAAGCAGATGATATGTTCGAAGCTCCAAAACCCAAGCAAAATCAGCCCAGCAGCAATTTGTGCAGCACTTACGGCGCTGAGTGCATATGATCGACGTCTGTTTGCTGGCCAGGAGCTGTCCCCGGCCACTGGACCTGGCGGTGCCAGGCAAGGGCTGGGCATGAGCTCGGATCTCAGAGCGGAGACTTTATAATCCTGGACTCCATGCTCGGGAGCCGTGAGTGGGCTTAGATTGGCTTGGATTCGCCCAATGCATGGTTCGCCGAACGACGTGCCACCGAAAATGTCCTCGCTAATGGCCGGTAAAGGTTTCTGGCAAAGAGTTCTCGGCAAAGAGTGGATCCGAAAGTTGTTTTGACCCCAAAAAAAAAGCATTTCAGTGTGATTAGTTGGCCCATGAAAAAGAGACACATATCTTCTAGGTCTATTTTTTGATTGATGATTGGCTATGCTCAGCGTAGCCACCCATCGCAGCTGCAGGAGATTGCAGCGGATCAAAGCTGCTGCGGCCGGTGCAAAATTTTGTCGAGACATAGAAATGCACTCCGGTGATGAGAAGATTCTTCCCTGGACTGGACTAAAAAGGGAAGAGCTGAGTTAATCAGATTACCAGGTGGGTCTATGAAGGTTCAACTCCCCTCAAGTGGCATGTTGTCCGTCTGACAAGATCACTTCAAATTTTATGAGGGCCAAAAGGTAGTCATGAGCACGCATCTAGATTGTGATCCATCACAATCTTACAGAAAAGTGATCATGTGCGCTTCTCTATAAAATGTTTGCATGGAGAGAAGGAGAGAGGAAGTGATGCCTCGAGAGAAGCCTGTTCCAGAGGACAGAACGTGACGCGTCCAATCATTCCAAAAGCTACACCATAGCCTTGTCGTGATGTCGACCAACTGAATCAGATTGGTGAGCTCATCCATCCTTCGAATCATGCATACACGATTAGCCCGGCCGGTTGGAAAGCTGTCACTTTCTTCAGTGCTTAAGTAGCTCCATCGAGAAAGATACCACGAGACCATTGGCTGTTCCGTCCGACTTACTTTTATTTTACTCACTCACAAATGATATCGGGATGAACTTCCTCGCCTCGAAGGGCACTTGTAAGTCACGTATATGTTGTCACCCGGTGGAAGTTCGAAATAAAATTCTGGTCATCATGATCGGTATGGCTCGCATGCAAATAGCATGCTCCACGTGTGAATCATCCGAAATATTACTTCTATTCTCGACCTTATACACTTCGACACAGATCCGTAGAAACAGGTTTTTATCGCAGCGAACAACAGTCAATAACAGATTAAATTTCTTATGTATGGAACTCCTTCTTCTTGAGACCAGGAGAAAACACTTGCAAATGATTTGTTTGAGTAAAAAGAAGGTCCCTTTCACTGGTTCTCAAAAAATTAGACTGTCGAATTTTCCACGTCCTTATCCTCTCTACTTCCTAAGTTCATACAGGCATCGCTTTTCCTGCTACGATCCCATGCTACGCTGTCGTTATCCGTAAGAGAAACGTGAGAAACACTGACCGAGGAGAGTGGATGGTAAGTCGCTACTTCTTGAGCCGGATGGTTGAGACGGTCCGTTCCCTGTGATTATACCATCCTTCTGAAGTTGATTGATTTGCAGAGGACTGCATATGATCTCAGATATCATATTATAGTGCAAAAGAGTCACTTCATACCTCAGGTATGTCTCAAAATAATACATTTTATGTTGCGGTATTCAACTGCCGTTCAGAATATCCTCCGCGTCTATTGTCTCGATTCATTTTGGGAAAATGCAGATGTTATGGCTCATGATCCGATCACGTGGGTAGCTTCCACACAAACGTGACTGTGATCTAGGCGGCAGATGTAAGCTGGAGAAATCGAGAGACGAGAGTGCCATTAAGATATGTGGAGATGAAGAGAAGTTCAGTGCTACGCGCCTTGGACAGTATATTAGGGGTTCCCAACTAGGAAACGCAGAGGAGCAGGTAGGAAGGGTCTATGCGCACACTAATCCCATGAGCTTTCGGTTTCCGCGCAGCAGTGCAAACGGCATGTTACCTCTTTGCTTAAAGCTGTTCACGTCTCGTGGCAGTGCGACTGCTGTAGCTGCAACAGGAGCTGCTGCAGCTGCAGCCTGACTTTACCAGCTTTACTATTTAGTTACTATTGGCATCTTTATTCTTCTTGCATCACAGCATCAATCAGAGCCTGATGGTTTAGTTAGCCGCCCGAAGTACTAGATTTACCCACATGTTCACCTTCACTACAACTTCTAACTCACTACTTGCAATCCTGAAGAAAGGCTGGATGCGCAGCTGGTTGTCAGGTTGGTGTCCTTTTGCATCTAATCTTCATGCGTGTAGTGTCGGAAGTGCGGGGATTATAAATGCGTTCAAGGAACGTGAGCATACAGCTGTGCAGAGGCAGTTTGCTTTTATCATAATCTCGTTGGACTTCTGAATTAGTGTGAGCCAAAGTGGTGGCGTCTACAGAATTGAAACATTATTGAATCATGAGCTTATGGTCGTCTTCATTCAG